CTAAAGTGAGAAATGAAGGATTCACCAGCTGACCAGTACCAAAGAAGTCCTTCTTAACCTCCACATGCACAAAGTTCTCTCCACATTGTGCTGCAACACTCTGGGGAGCTATAGGTACATGTGGCTCAAAAGGCACATCTGGCTGTTGGGGCTCTTCTGGCATTACTGGAAAATGCCAGGTCAAAGGTGCCATAGGAGCCTGCATAAGCTGTTTGGACTGACTACTTCCAGGTTCTTGAAGCTTCCGTGCATCCACCCCAGCAGGCCTCATTGCAGGTCTTGGAGGCCGAAAAGATGCCTGTGGATCTTGAACAGATTGCGGAGGAGCTAAAACTGGCGACTGTTGCTGTTGGAATCTTAGTGAATCCTGGCCTTGTTGAAATCTTGACCACTGAGCCAAACTCAAGTCAACTGCAATAAGCAACAACAACCCAACACAACTAAAAACCACCAGCCTCATTGTTAAAAAAAACTGAAACCTTCAGAATAACTACTGGACTTCTCTGATGCCTTTTTCAAGAGAAGGAAGTTAAAATAGCTCCGCCCCCTTTTAACAAGCTTAATGATTTTCCAGACCTGTTTCATTAAAGGTTTTGAACGCCCCAAACGAGTACAACCTAGATCCAGGTGGCTCACTTGTTTTGCTTCTGGATCAAACTGTCTATTGGACATCAAGCAGTGAAACAAGAAAGTACCTAAATAGTTTATTTGACAAAAGTAAACAAACATTTTCTTTAATTCAGACTTTGATAAATATAACCATAAAACCACAGTCCAGCAATATGCAAAATATGTTTTTGGTTTCTAAATGTTTCTTAAATAGTTAGTTTCATGCTCTTGGCAGCCAGTATTTCATTGCACAAAACGCCTTGTGGTTGGTACCAAGCAGCCTTGCTCCCAGTCCTTGTAAGCTTCACTACTCTTAAAAAGATTTGAAGTGCTGTATGTTGAAATGAGTATCCCATAGATACTAGGATGCCCTACTATTTCCAGGGGATGCTCAAAGTGCTAATGATCCATGTACACTTTGTGCATTTTAAATAAAATAAAATGTAAGTTTGCAGCTTTAATGTTGAAAATCTACTTCATTCAGTTCATGTTATATGGTTAAATGGGAGATTTTACGTGCACTCCAACTTCGCCTCAGTGCCAGGCGCTAGTCAAACGAGCGCAGAAAAGGTACAGGTGATGAGGAGCTTCAGTAGAACAACAGTGAACTGCGGTCAGATGAGATGTTGTCAGGCCATGTCAGTAAAAACTAATTTTTTCCTGTTCTGTTAGCCGTTATACTGTACTCGTAGCAATCATGCCATTGTGTGCTACAAATCGCTCAGAGCACCTTTGCTACAACACATCTGTGCACTGAATACAGTAGCAACTGCATAGTGGCATGCTAAAAAGAACACCTTGTGTCTGCACAATGTTGTGTTAAAAACCACTTTAGAAACCACTTTAGAAACCACATGGCAACACGTTAAAAAAATTCAAACACATTTAGCGACCACACAACAATGTGCTAAAAACCCACACAGATGAATATCTTGCATCGTGGTGCCAATTCACTTTTGCATGGGCAAGCAGCACTCACGTTAGAAGTGTAGAAATACAGTACAAATCTATGAATCGTTATTGGAGTGATTCTTTTTAATTCCCTTAAATGATTTTACATTTATTTGTGCACACGCAGCTTTACAGAAAATCATGATATTAATGTTAATAAAAATGCCGTATAGTTGCATTTAGCACTACAGTTTACATTTTGTGATCATGCAGGCATTATAATTTTCTATATATAATATATTAATCGGAGTGTACGGCATGTATCTGGGTAAGATGTCTTAATTGTAACCATCTCCAAGAAATTTAGTAAGTATACATCACAATTTAGACATTTAAAGATCAGTACAAACAATGCTGCTTCTCATCTGACAGTAGGTGACAGTGACAGCAGCATTGACAGTGGAAGTAAATGAGTCGTTTCTACTCAAATGAGTCTGTGACTGTATAGAGACGGTGTTGGTGCAGGGTTGTGCAGATGTGCTTCCATCACCGGCTGGAACAAGCAGTCCTCTTTGTTTAATGACAGATATACAGCCTCTGCCCCTGTGCCATTGCTTTGTGGACCGCTATTGTGAGATGCTCTTTCATTACTGAACCTGTTCACCTCAGATTTTAAGATGTTTAAAAAGCTCAAATAAACTAAATATAGGCAAGAAAATTAAACAACATTGTATTAAATGTAAAGCTTTATATATAGGGACTCTGACAAATGTAAGTCCATTTTTATTTACTGCATACTTTTTTACTTACTTTATATTTTGATTTACTGCAATTTTATGAGGAAAACATACAACACAAACAAACACATCCTGGATAATCAAAGCTCTCAATATCTTGTTGTGCTGATGTGAGAGTTTAAACTGAACTTAATAAGTACAATGAAAAAATCAATAGGTAAATACAGAGTCCAAAATGAAACCTTTGCCACCCATGAAAGAAAGCTGCATTGAGAAAATTGATTGTGAACTAAAAATGAAATTGTATTTTGCATCATTTTATTAAAATGAAACAAAATAATTTACAAACTAATATGAAATTAATATAATGATTTTTTTCCCATTGTGTATTGGTACACCGGTCAAAAAAACATTCGTAAACATTGTGACATAGTTCCTCATAAACAGTATTTGTTTTGGTGGCTTATGCAAGGGATATTTCATGACATGTCACCACGTTGATAAAAACAAAACAATAAATAAATGTTATGCACGCTAGACAAACTTTGGATGGTAAATTTGTCACTGAGACTGTGCAAGTCATGACAGATATTTTTTTCACAACACTACAGATAAGAAAGGTTCAGATTACACTGTAAAAAAAAAATCTGTGACATTTACAGTAAAATACCGGCAGCTGTGGTTGCCAGAACTTCACCGTAAAAAATACGGTAGCAACATTTTAGGTTTTACAGACTTAATCTAAACACAATAAAATACCGTATGACTTTTTCTTTTTCACTTCCAAAAAACGTATTTTTAACAGTATTTTACTGTATTCACCGAATATAGTATGGAAACTTACTGTTAACCAGTTAACAGGTTTTTACTGTAGCATTTTTACAGTCTTTTACTGTTAAAATCACAATCATTTTTTAAAACATGTAATCTTGTAACTCTTAATAAAACTACAATCTGACTGGTGAGTATTTGTTCTATTTACTCACCAAAGTCATTTTTACCTTCATTTGGTGTTTAGTAACTGCTAAATAATAAAATGTTTTATAGTCAATAATCTATATTTTTTCCCCATCAACTTTTTCAACAGCTGATTCTTTAGCTTGAAAATTGAGTTTAAATCTTTAGTTTAAGCTTTAATAAGTGCATCTAAATTACAGATTATATGATGACCATAAAAAGAAAAGAAGCATTTATGCGCAGCAACACGTGAGTTGTGGTGAGTGAAAAACATCCCCCTGAGAAAAGTAAATTTCCATGTTCTCTTCCCACGCTCTGCAAACAGCTAGAGGCTAAACATGCTGCTAGTACACATGCTCAGTCCTGTGACTCAGCGAAGGAGACTCATTCACTCTGCGCACAATACAGACTCTAAACATTTCTAAACTAACCATCAAAAAAAATGTATGTATGAGAAATTTCAAGGATTTATTTCTGCAGTGTCACATTTACTATAAGACCGCTTGTTTGTTGAATGACACAATGACGCAAACATTTTAAAATTCAGTGTATAACATTATAATACTCTGATGCTGTGCCCTTTGTACAGTATGCGCTGTGCTCAGAAGTGAGGAATGAGACAAATAAATAGTTCACTGACATTGGTAGCATGAACACATTAATTGTATTGTTTTTGAGGGTACACACACACACACACACACACA